AAAGCTACAGAGAAACCCTGTCTCAAAAACACACACACACACACACACACACACACAAAAGAAAAGAAAAAGAAAGAAAAACTATCGGGCAACAGTAACCCCAACTAAACACATATTCTAATCCAGAATTTCTGTCCTAAGTGTACACTCTTACACACTATTATAAGATGCTGGTAAAAATTCCTGCCAGGTGGTGGTGGTGCATGCTTTTAATTGCAGTGCTCCAGAGGCAGGCAGATCTCTGAGTTTGAGGCCAGCCTGGTCTACACAGCTAGTTCCAGGACAGCCAAGGATACACAAAGAAACCCTGTCTCAGGGGTCAGGGTGGGGGATGGGGTGGGAATCCTGATAGACTCTAAAAGCCAAGGTTCAACCTAGAGTAGAATGGATAAATTGTAGTACATTCACCCAGCTCTGAAAAGCTCAGCAAAATGCAGAGAAAGGGGACCCACAGGATTAAGTAGAAATATACCATATAGTTCCACTCCACTTTAGTAAGTTAAAACAAAAACAAAACAATAAGACCAGCTCATCTGTGGTCATGTAGATCAGGCTAGTGGCTGTCTAGGGAAGAATAATGCTGCATTTCTTTAAAACAAAGTGTGTATTTTACAAGTATGTGTATTCACGTGTGTGCAGGTGCCCTGTGAGGCATCCCCCTAGAGCTGGAGTTACAGGTGGTTGTGGGCCAGCTGATGTGGGTGCTGGTCTCCTGGTAGAAAAGCAAGCTTTTTTTTTTTTTTGCCTTTTATTTTTAATTGATTTTATTGAGCTACTCATTTTTCTCTGCACCCCTCCCTTCCTCTCCTGTCCCCTTCAGCCCTCTCCCAATTTACTTAAGAGATCTTGTCTTTTTCTGCTTCCTGAGAAGCAAGCATTCTTAACTGCTGACCTCAAGCCCTGAGGTCATATTTCTTGATCCAACCACCATTGATAGGAGCATATTCACTTTTTGAAGATTCTGGGCTGTATACACACGATATGGACTTCCCTATGTGACATTTTAAACTGAGTGTTCATCCAAGAGTAGGATGAACCACCTGTGTGTATGCACTTGTGTGTATGTGTACAAAGAAATCCTTACAGGCGGTACTGTAGGTTGGGGGTGTGAACTCAGTGGTTGAACCTTGGGTAGCATGCATGAGAACCTGCCCCAACTTAACCCTCAAATACTGCAGATATTAGTATCCATCAGGTTCATAGAACAAGGGATATAGCTCAATGGTAGACAGAGGGGCCCTGGGTTTCATCCCCAGTACCACCCCCCCCTACAAAGATCTATTTTTGTTGCTTTTTAAAAATTTTATGTATTATTAATTTTATGTATATGATGCCCTATCCTCACGTACATGCATGTACACATAGATGCCAGAAGAGGGCATCAGATTCCATTATAGATGGCTGTGAGCCACCATGTGGTTGCTGGGAATTGAACTCTACCTCTGAAAGAGCTGCCAATTCTCTTAACCACTGAGCCATCTCTCCAGCCCCCTTTTGGAGTTTCTTATTTTGCATTCTGTCACTAGTCTAATAAGCATAATAAACGCTCCCTCAGACCTAAGGTCAAAAGAGCATTTGCTTGAGAGTTAACTTCAGCAAGTCAGCAGATAATCTGTGAGCAAATGCATGTCACCTCCAGATATGTCAGAGAGAAAGCCTTTGTTTGACACTAGATTCAGGGTACACATTCAAGACCCAACCAAACTAAGAACAGAGCACAGCAAGCCCTCTATAAACATGGAGCCTTCACAACAGCAGGGCAAGTCAACTTTAACCAACACACTGGTTTGATGGTGGCATCCCAGGGGGGATGTCAAGAAGACTGTGAAATGCCTTCTTTCCTAGGATTGGCTGATCTTTCAAAGCTTATCACCCCTCTCCCATGTCTCACAATTAAGACTTTCTCATATGATGGTGCACATCTGTAAGCCCAGCACCAAAGAGGCTGAGACAGGTGAGTTCCCAGACAGGATGGGCTATACAGTGAGACCATGCCTTAAAAAAGCGAAAACAAGCTCCAGAAAAAAAACAAAGTACACACTTTGAAACAAAAATCATCTCCTCTGCTAACCAATTTATCCCAGATCTTGAGGAACTTTCTAGATGTCTGTGCTGTACTTAAGTGCCATTTCAAGAGTCCCAACTGTCACTTCCATGGGTTGGCTCAGATGTCTCCTTTCTGCTGTACCGGCAGCCCCTCTTTCTAAAAGGCAACCCTCCCTAAACTATCTGGCACTAACATGCAGTCTCACCCAGGGACTCTTTAAAGGAAGTGAATAGAAACTGAAGCTCTTGGTGTGCACACACACACGTTTACACGTACATGTTCCCCAGGAGCTGCTCGCCTTGTTTTTTGAGACATGGTCTCTCTCTGGGACTTCAGGTTCATTAGACTAGGCTAGGCTGACTGGTCAATGAGCCCCAAGGGTCTGCCTGTTTCCCCACCTCCAGCACTGGGATTACAAGTAGGTGTCACCATCCCAAACCTTTCTCATGCATTGTCTTGAACACAGACAGGTCTTCATTGCTTACAAAGCAAGTTTATGGACCAAGTCATCTCCCCAGTCCTATTTTTTTTAACTGTATGTGGGTGTTTTGCATGCATGTATATATGTGCACCATGTGTGTGCCTGGTACCTGCAGGGACCAGAAGATGGCTTTAGATCCCTCTAACTGGAGTTACAGATGGCCATGAGCTGTGATGTGGGTGCTGGGAATCAATCTTGGTCGTCAGGAAGAGCAGCCAGCATTTGTAACCACTGGGTCACTTCTACAGTTGGTCTAGCTTTAGTTTTTAATCAGTTTATTGAATATGAAAATCTGGAACATACGCTTATCAACTATCAGATTGCACACAGCTACTTAGTGCCATTTTGCCTAAATAAGTTTGAATTTCTGTTTATAGGTATACTCAAATTTAATAATGTCTTTTAAATGGGGGGAGGGGTGGAGATTTGCAGTATTGTTATCTATTGGCTATATATATACTAAAACCTGATCTGTCTTTAAAATATTCCAATTCTACAGTGCCAGTTAATGACCAGAAATTTTGGAACTTTTCTCAGTGGAAAGAATGAAAAAAGTTAAAGTGAGATCCACAGGTAAGCAGACCCTTTCTGCACAGGATCACCTGGCTGTCCTCTAACAGCTATCCAGTGCACTAGCTGGAAGCATTTTGTGAAAATTTCCAATTTCCAAACAACTTCAAGACATATGAAACCAAGCAGAGTGGTATAAACCTGAAGTCCCAGGTATTCCAGAGACTGTATGTAGCAGGAAGATCCCTGGAGCCCGATAGTTGAAGGACAGTCTGGGCACCCGATTTACTGACTGTGTTTGTCTATGTAACGGGTGGGTGCATGTGTGGAGGCTAGAAGATGACTTGCACAGGTCAGTTCTCTACCACATGAATGCTGGGGATGGAACTCAAGTCATCAGCTCAATGGCAAGTGTCCACCGATGGGGTCGCCTCACCAGACGGCCGCCGTCTCCTGACACCTTTCACTGTAACCTACACACTCCATTTCAACTAGACTGGCTGAGCAGTGAAGTCTCAGGATCTGCCCACTTCTGCCCCCACTATGGGTGCCAGGCTCCCAAGTCTTCCTGTTTGCAGAGCAAACCAAGTGAGCCATCTCCTCAGCTCCCTCTTCAGTGGGGTGTTCCCTTTACTCTCATCCCTAAATTTTCTTTCACATTTAGGTTCTTAGTCAAATTTGCCTAAACAGAATACCTTAATTATAATGCAGAGCGTAGCTCAAGTCCTTCCAATAAACCCAACTTCAGCAGAAAAAAGGAAGCAAATTTTATTTTAACAAGGCATTTAAACACTGTGGTATGGTGGCACACACCTGTAACCTCAGTCCTAGGGAGGCTAAAGCAGGAAGATCATGAGATCTGGGCTACAAACTGAGATTTTTAACTTTTCTTCCCCAAAGGAGCCAGTCTCCAAGGAACAGAGCTCCACAGTAGAGCATTCCTCTAGTATGCTCAAGGTCAAAGTCATCCCTGACTCTCTGCCCAATCTTCACTTAGGAAGGGGATTACTAGAGTACCTGTTTTACTAAGCATAGCATATATCCATTGGGTGACACGGATTTTTCTTGGGGGAGGGTGTTAAAGCAGGGTTTCTTGAAGGTTTTTTGAAGGATTTTTCTTGGGGGAGGGTGTTAAAGCAAGGTTTCTGCTTCATAGCTTGGGCTGGTCTGGAACTTGACACCCTGCCCAGCCTCCAGAATACTGAGATTACAGGTGTGTGCCAACTACTTCCAGAGAGTGAAGGCTTTTTTAAAACTGGAAAAGGTTAAAAGGTTCCGCATCTTTGAGATCTACACCATAAATACAAGTGAGGGTTTAATTTGTAGATGCCTGTAGTTTACGTATCTAGAACCCTCGTATTTACTTCTAACATTTGTGTTTCTGAGTGATGCTTACGGAATCCAAAACAATGAAGTTCTTACTATATAACACTTAACAGAAATACTTTTTAGAAGGATGAGAATTTCTTTTTAAAAGTTGTATTACATTCGTCAAGTGTAATAGTGTACGCCTTTAATCCCAGCACTCGGGAGGCAGAGGCAGGAGGATTTCTGAGCTAAAGGCCTGCCTCATCTACACAGTGAGCCCCAGGACAGCCAAGACTAATAACATAGAGAGAGCCTGTCTCGGATAAATAAAAACAAGGAATAAAAGAGTGAGCCTACACATATGCCAGTGTGCACAGAGATCAGAATCAGTTCTTACCTTCCACCATGTGGTTTCCTGGGAATGGAACTCAAGTCATCGGGCTTAGCAGCAAGTACCTAAACCCATTAAGTCATCTTACTGACCCCATATGCACAAATTTCTGTCCCTCCATATTCAGAGCTTATATTTTATTTAACACAGAGTCCAAGTCCGGAGACTATAGGTATGTCTTACTCCCTGCTGATAAAAGCAAACTGCTTAATTCATGGCAGCCTGGAAGAGTTACACAATAAACAACAATAAGAAAAAGGCACTTACATAGTCTAGTCTTTATTGAAAGACTTACTTCAACTGTGGTTTACAGCTTTGGCTTTAGTTGGCCTCTCACTGCCGGCAGACATAAAGATCAGACGGACTGGCATCGAGGAAATGCTAGTAGAAAAGGATTCAAGCACAGACGATGGCAGGCAGAAACACACCAAGGTAAATCTCAAGAAACTATGAAGAGACATTTCCTTGCATGCCAAAGAGTCTCTCTGCTGTTCTTACGAACACAGGAAGGGAAAGGCAACAGTTCTTAGGCTTAAAGTGGACCGAGATGGCACAAACTCAAATCTGCGTAGTAAGACAGTCTGAACCTGTGTTAGCTTGATCACTGTACTTTCAAAAATAGTGCATTTCGTCTGGACATTTCCCTTTCTATCTTAAAACTATTTGCTGTGAAATGACTGTGACTGACTTATCAAGAAAACCTTTTTTCTCATCCAAATTAAGACAAAAGACATGTCAGACGCTTACTATGGCAATGTAACTAGTCTGGATAATTTCATTAAATCATAGAATATATAACAGAAAAGGCTACACTAGAGTTAGCCATTAGTTACCTCAATAAGCTACTTAATATACTGGCAGAGGAAAAAAAGGCAAATTGAAATTTTAATTCAATAAAAGCTTTTATCAATTTAGAAAATCCCCAGGATGTTTGAGTTTCGCAAAGGTTAACAAAAACCTTAACTCAGGAGAATATTAGCTTATTGGTTTCTTCTTATAAAATATAAAGTACCTTTTCCAGAACATCCCCCAAAGGTAGGATGATCAGAAGAAATAGGGCTATTTCAGTCATAGAGAAGTATAACACAGGACTGTTGTGGTTAAAAAAAAAAAAAAAAAAAACTAAGGTACATAAGATTTTGGCTCAAAAATGAATTTCAGACCCTGTAAATTTCTATACTAAATATATTTGGCTGTATTTTTAAGTGAAGGAGGAAAAATACCAGAATTTTTGTGGTCACCAACATATAAAACCACATTATCTTAATCATTAGACTTCAATGGCTAAGCACGGCCACCAGCTGCTTCTTACCGACCTTACCACTGAACCGTTAGGGGTTGTTTGCTCTTGTGCATACACAGGCCAACAGGTTTAATACACTGCCAGAACATTTGCACCCCCTAGCTGTCACAACTGAAACAGATTGTTTTCTATTTCACATTCCTGTTTTATAGAAGTATGAGGCGGACTGTATCCACAAAGACTGAAAAATGCCATGGAAGCACACCAGGAACTCCTGCATCTTCCCCAGGGGTTCATTTACAAACTGCACACATACAACTCAGGCCTCTTCAGGCCTGTCACCCACACACTCCCCACAAGGAAAAAGAACAAATTAGAAATAAAAGTCACAACTTTGTGTTTGACTTAAATTGAATATCCAATTATAAATTGGTACATCAAGCTGTCTAAATAAGATATTTTAGCAATCTTGTTAAAAAAATTCTTGGGCAAAATATATCTATTTTTTAAAAACATCCCAAGATTTTTAAAAAAACATTTGTGCTATACAACTTATAGGAAATCTGAAATCATTTCACTGGTTTTAATCAAGGTATTTTGTACCAAATAAAGAAAAAAAGAAAAAAAAAGAAAAAGTCTCAAACTAACTTACTTCCACTTACAATTTAGAATATACTAATGCTTCAGGATCTGTATGAAATTAAATTAAGGCTTCTTCTGTGTAGTCATCTGTGTCATCTTCATTTACATGGCCAACCTGGAAATGGCATCTGAAACATTGTTACCGAGCACTGCGCTTGCTCCGCTCACTGCAGTGAGAATGGATGTCACTTGTCACCTCGGAAAAGTACACTGCTGCTACTTCTATGTTGAAGCATGCTTTTGGAACACTGTAGTTATTCAATATTTACAATGTTTATCATTTAAACTCCATGTAAAAGCACAAGTATGACTGTCTGACTTTAATATAAACACCATACTTGGAATTTCCCCCCAGAATGAAATGCATTATACTACATTTTGATAACCAACACTTTGAAAGTTTTAAAAATATGTATTAATGTGGACACCAGCATTCACTCAAGGGACTTCTACGATGCTGTTCCTTATTTAGGTTGCAAGCTTTCAGTCTGGCTTCAGTTTCTTTAGCAGAGAGAGAAACAGTATTTCTTCCACAGCGACTCCCACACATCACGTATTTCTTCTGAAATCACACTTTTCCTGCTGACTTCAATGTGGTCCACCTCAGGGATGGGAGGGGAGTATCAGAATTCAGGATGTACTGATGTGATTCTCAGTTTTCACGATACTCCCTTTTTTGCTCTTTTAAAAACACAGTGAGTTAAAATACTGAACAGCAAGATAAAAACGGAATAGTGTCTAAGAATCAAAACGTATTACCCATTTCTCCTATTATATCAAAATTTATAGTCAGAATTGTCTTTATTGACTTTATTTTAGTTTTTGTACACAAAGAAAAATCATGTTCATCTCCATCATGAACAAAAACTTAAAAAGGCAGAACTAGAAGACACGTGTCCTTCCCCGGGCAAAGCTGTGCTAAGGGTTCCAACATTTCAATTGTTAAAATAAATATTCTCACTTCCGATGTTTACTTTTCATGTCTTCAAAGTGTCATACGAAATTGCAGCCTATGGTGAGTTATAACTGTGTTTAGAGTCCCAGCTCACTGTGTTGGGAAACTGGCCATTCCATAACCAGCTTGGTTTGGAGGAGGTATTACAGGAGGAGGAGCTTGTCCTTGAGGAGGCTGAGCACCAAATCCACCCATCCAAGCAGCAGAAGGTGATTGACTTGGAAGAAAGTAGGGGAAAAAATTTTCAGCAAACACAAAGAGATAATCTATACAGCTATACAAAACAAGGTAGACTCTTAAGCACAAAGCACAAAGATAAACCACGAATCCCCAACAAACAGGACACACACACCACACATCTTACAGCTTTTCACTGCCTTTTACTTTGTGCTGTACTGGGGATCACGCCCAGGGCCTTGTCTATGTGATGTGATGCCCCACACTTCGGTCCAGCTTTGTTAGGATAATCACAGCTTACCTCAAGTCTGCAGACCACCTCAAAGCTGGTTCTTAAAAAAAAATAATGAGGGCTGGCATGGTGGTACACACTTTTAATTTTAGCACTTGGGAGGCAGAAGCAGGTGATCTTTGTGAATTCGAGGCCAGCCTGGTCTATATAAAGTTACAGGCCAACCAAGGCTTATAGCTATAGTAAGACTGTCTCAAAAAACAAACATCTAGGACAGACAGGGCTACACAGAGAAACCCTGTTTCAAAAATAAAAATATAATAATGATAATAGCAATCCTAGGTGAGCCAGGTATAAGGCCTCTTATCTGTACCCCAATACCTGCGGGGGGAGGGGTTGGGACAGGACTGCTGGGAGTCAGTAATATCCAGGCCACCCTGGCCTAGAACGAAACACTGTCTTATAAAAATAAATTACTTAGGAGGCAGTACTCTTGTTACAGCCCTCAACTCTTGCGGTATTTTTAATAAACCTGTGAAAATAAAGGTCTAACTCAGCCTAGGGGAAAAACTTCACATAAGGCAAACTACACTATGTCATATCAGCTCCCAAGGTGTCTTAGGATAGTCCAAACAAACATAGAAACATCATCTTTCTGAGCATATCTAGGCAAAGACCCGTTACACACATAAAATTAAATAAAACTGCTATTATAAATGAGTTAGGTCTGACTGCACCCCCATCTCTGTAATGCAAGAGTTACAAACTCCACTTCCTGAGATCTGCTGTATTCCATTTATAGCCCAAACGTCCTGACATAACATCATTTCAGTAGACTCTCCCCAGGAGAGCACAGATTTCTCTTTCCCCAGAACTCATCAGTTTCTACAATGGGAAAACCAAAACAACTCACTCTACTCCGAATCCTTGTTGGTTCCATGGCTGCCCATAGACTCCGTAGGGAGGAACTTGCCACCCATTTGCCATATACTGCCCATACTGCTGTGGGTTTCCATACACTTGGCTCCACTGGCCCCACTGACTGTAGTCAACCTAGGAGAAAGCAAATTCTTGTTTTAGGGAACAAGAAAGAAACACCGTATTTGAAGAAAGAGTGGGAGACAAGGAAGAGAAAAACTAAGTAAGCACCCTTATGTGAATAGGACTCTGTTATTTATCATTGTCTAAGTTTATTGGGGTGGTGACACCTGTGAAAAGAAAGTATTAAGATTCAGTTAATACCGCAAAACAATTTTGAAATAGCATTTACACAATCAACTGAAAGCAGCTATATGTTTTATTTTACTGTTTATTTTACAATTTCCAAAGCTCCTATGTAGGTCTGTAAGATGGAAACCTTAGAAAATGCTAAGAAAAATCGAATTACCTGTTGGAAGTTTTTAGTCATATCAGGAGATTCTTTACCCCAATAGCATTTAACCACATGTCCTTCAATTGTAGTACCGTTAACAGAGACAATGGCATGGGCTGCACTTTCATGAGTTGAAAATCTAGGAGGAGAAAGACAGTGAGGTTTTGTCTTCACTCTTTAAGAACTTGGGCAAATAATATAGGAACTCATTGGCTGACACCTTTCAGCTGGCATTTTTCTTAAGCTACATTCTGTAGGCAAACTACAATCTAGTAAGAATCCACTCATGTAAGAGGGAGGAATAAGCAGTAAGAGAATGAATGGCTTTACAGCTGGCGTGTTACCTGACAAATGAATAGCCCTTCTCTGGAAAAACTCGAATTTCCATAATTTGTCCAAATGGTGAAAATGTTTGTCTCATAAGCTGATCTATACAAAGAAAAATATACAAAGAAAATATTTACAGCTCATGCTAGCCATGAAATTTATACTAATAGTGCTGAAACACCAACAGAGAAGGTAATTAGGAAGCCAAAGACTATACCTGTTAGCCCAGAAGCAATTCCTCCACAGTACACAGTACAATTTTTTGGACTTGACTGGTTTACTACATCTTCAAATCTCAACTGCTTAGTGTTAGCTATATGAAAAAAGTAACAAAATTTGGACTGTTAAACAGTATTATAAAACTAGTTTTTGAGCTGACCTTAAAGCTCATTGCATATGTAAGGTCCCGTGTTCAATCCCCAACACCACACACATATACAATCTTTTGTTCTTATATACCATTTTTAATTTTTTTTTTAAAGACAGTATATTTCTATGTAGCCCTGGCTATCCTGGAACTATGTGAAAGAGGCTGGCCTCTGCCTCCCAAGTACTGGGATTACAGGCATGGGCTACCACTCTCAGCTACATACTGTTAAGATATAAGATATACTCCAGTAGGAGAAACAAAATTTTGTTCTTCCTTCTGTGACTTAACAGATATGGGGGTGAAGTCTCGGGTATCCCAGGCTAGGCTCAAACTCACTATGATGCTGAAGAGGTCTCTGAGAAGTTCTGTTTCTGCCTCCACTTCCCATGTACTGGGATTATAGGCATGAGCCTCTATACCTGGTTTTTATGATGCTGGGGACCAAACTCAGGGCCTCATGTATGTTAACGGCAAGCAGAAGCACTCTACCAACTGAGCTATAGCCTCAGCCTTAAATATAGATCTCATCTATAAATAAATCAGTTGGTTCTTAGCCTGGAGGGTACTTATATCTAAAGTTCCTATGATGAGATTCATGGTAAAGCTTACAGTAATTTAAATATTAAGAAATTAATAATGGTACATGGTATAATCACAATCTATACTTGCTACATACATGCAGATATAACTTACTTTCCTGTGTACTTTTAGGGGCAGGTGGTTTACGTGTGGCCCAATTGGTTCTGATTTGTCGACCTCCCAACCACTGGCCCCCCATGTGCACAATTGCATTTTCTGCATCCTATAGAGAAAAAAAAAAGAACAACTAGAAAACAAAACAAACAAAACCAGATGTAAAAGACCCAGTAAGACAAAAATGAAAGCTGATACTGCTGCATCCAATACATCTCATCATCTGTGAGTCCACTCAGCACAAAGATGTTACCAATAAAACAACCTGAATCATAAAAGCTGCTTTCTACTTACAGGGTTCAAAATACTAATATTTAAATTTAAGAATTATATTTCACTAATATAAAGAAAAAAGATAAACCTATTCACCACCCCAAAATCATTTTCCTCCAATACACACAGATGAATAAAAAGAAAATAGAAATCTTGTTGCCATTTTGAAGAGCCTTAATTTTATGGTTGCTTTGTAATGTAATAAAGAAAATGTGAAAAGAGGCTACCGTACATACATAACTGCTGGAACAATTAATATTCCTTATGAGGCTGGGTGTGGTGGCACACACCTTTAATCCCAGCACTCGGGAGGCAAAGGCAGGTGGGTCTTTGTTAGTTCGAGGCTAGACCAGTCTACAAAGCGAGTGGACAGCCATGGCTACACAGAGGAAACCCTGTCTCAAGTAAATAAAAAATATATATACATATATATATATGTGTGTGTGTGTCTGTGTATTATGAAAATATAGTTTTGATGAAAACAATTAAAATAGAGACTTTCCTTGTTAAAACTGAATATAATTCTCATATTGGTTCACTTCTACTGGTCTTGGGTTTTACTTCTAATTCATTCTGCCTTCACCAATGCACAAATACATTTTCATAATCCTCCTTCATTATTATCACCCTAGCCTTTTCTAGATATTTACAAGTTAATAAAAGAATTATTTTCTATTATTAATATAAATTATATTCCTAAATTAACATTCAAGCACATTAAGTTTCAATCATTAATCGTTAATTTTAATAAAGCAACTAAATCCAGAATTGAAGACTGAGTTGATTGAAAGGACGTACCAGTTTGTTATAAAAAGATACAAAACCATAGCCTTTGGACTTTCCGGTTGCCATGTCTTTAACTACCCGGGCATCCCTGTGAAAAGAAGCACAGCTAAATGAGGGAAGTAAAAGTCACCCTCAAAATAAAAACTAAAAGGAACCACACACACTGTATTGTGAGCATTTTAAAAATAAACTCCAGTTAGCCCTAATTAACTACAGCCATTCCTGAACTCTCCCTAATGCTTCTTTACCTGTTAGAAAAAAGCAGTAGGACAAAAACATGTAATAAACATGCAACCTAATCACATAACCTGTGCTTGCTAACTAGATACTCAAAGCTGAAGATTAATAGGAACAACAGTTTCCTTTTCTAATATTCTATTTGCTAGTGTCCTCTAAGATTTACTGATTCTATAAATTACTGCAACAATACTAACTACTTTACCATGCAATATCTAAATAGTTAAATGTCTTCTGCCTAGTGATACAAAATATATGAAATATTAAAAAATTGAAAAAGAGGAAAAAATAGGAATTAAAAAGGCATACATGGCCTGTTAACAGATTTCTTTATTTTTCTTGGTCAATTCTCTATCATCATTTTGGAGTTTGGGCAGCTGTAAATTTTGAAAAATTGACATTTTCAGAAATTTAAGAAAGGAGAATAAAAAACTAACAACAACGCTAAGCACACCAGTACGAAAACAACAAATTTACACAGAAATTTTAGTGAGTAAGTTAAAATGATTGGAAATATAGAACTCCACTGAATATAGAATGTTAAAATGTAAATACTAAAATATGTATATATAAATAATGTATAATAAGAATAAATAGAAATGAGAAAAAAAATCTACAACTGAGTTCCAGTGTGCACAGTTCCTTGCAGTTAGCCTTCAAGATCCTGTCCATTCTTATGAGCAATTCTGCAAAATAACCAGAATGCTATTACTTTTAATTGTGACTTGGACTGTAGAAAAACTGCAGGTCTCAGGTATAAATAAAGATCAAAAACAGCAACCTGTATCATTTTATACTATTTTACAACAGTACTACTTACCACACTTAGATTAAAAAGCAAAGCAAATATCAAAACAGAAAATTAAGAATTAAATGTTTCTTACAAATAAATCTATAGAACAACAAATCATATAAAAGTTAATAGAAAAGTTGTTGTTCTTAATCAAAACATTTCTGTAGTCATACATTTAAATTGACAAATATATAACATATTCATTTTAAAGATAAATTGACATTTTATAAAACTTGTAACCATTTTCTAAAATATTGAATCAAATAACAAAATTTGAGCACATATATTTAAAAAAAAAAAATCAACCCATACTTGTCCCTTCCCTAGCAGAATCAAATATCACTAACAAAAATCAAATTAATCTCATATTTATTATCTAGACAAGAAAACATTTTAATATTGCAATAGTATTCTTTTTCTGAAAGCTAAATATCAAAATACATTTATCATTATATTTACACATGAACATTTCCAATTTAACCATAATATACTCAAAGATTTGCTTAAATTCCCCCCACCTATAAACTCCTCCAATAAAAGTTTAAAACACAATATAAATCACATTTAGTTTTTATTAACCCAATATTCTTAAGCATTAAGATTTGAAAACATTTGACAAAAAGCTGGAAGCTTCAACATTTGAATATTTGCTTTAAATATAACCAACAGAATCACTTAAAATTTCAAACATTATACACAGGATTATCTGAAAACAAGACCCTAAACATTGAAATGACATCAACATTTGCAACAACATCTACTCAAAAAACAAAACAAAACAAAAGTAAAAACCAAAGAAAAACACACTAACTAGAGAAAGAAAACCTTAATTCTAATACAAGTTAATCATATAGTTTTGCCTATCACTACTGAGTCTGATACTGATTATGATACTTACGATATTTTACCAAAGGGGGCAAATGCTGATTTGATATCTTCTGTTGTAATTTCTGGACTCAAATCCCCAACAAACACATGGAAGTGATCTGAAATCAAAGCATTTGGTAATCAAATATTTAAGAAATCAGGCAACACTAAAGGAGGAAAAACACCGTAGGTAAGCTGGTAATGCTGCCAGGACAACGTCAGGCTTCCACAGTAAATGCAGCAGGAGTACTTACTGGAAGTATCTTTTTTCTGGCTACTTGGTGTTGTTGCCCAGTTTACTTTGACCTCCTAAAAGCAAAGATTATATTTAATACAATTATTAGGCATGTCATTATGAGCTGTTAACACTTACCACTTAATATATCATTTATCAAGTTGGATTATGTGTGTAAAGGCACTAGGCTGAATAGAGACCACTCAGTAGCTGATTGTCTATTTTAAATCTTGCTAAGAAAGAATGCAGGGTGATTTAACATGCAAACATACGTTTACTGGATGCCATCATCCCATTATCTTACCTTTCCCAAAATTTTTCTGCCATTCATAGCAGCTAATGCAGCAGCTGCATCTCTGTGTTCATAAAATTCCACAAAGCAATATGGATCATTGCTTGTATGCTGCAAAACAGAAAATCCAACAGAAGAGTTGACCCTTCTGCTATCGGGTTGCTGAGAAGAAAATCCAGGAAAAAACATTACTGACAGCTAGGAATGCACAGGTGAGACTGTACAAGCTTATGAAAGCCTAACACTTAAGACTTAAGCTGAACCATAGAATGCTGTTGTATTCCAGCAGAGCCACAATGAATAGTAAAGAATCGTGACTGTGAGAAGTAAATATCCAAGTCTGGTGAAGCATGTTTAATACTAACCCTAACCCTCTACCTCAGGTTTAGTAAGGACTGCTCCTAATCACTGCTCTTTTCTTCCAACATTATTTTTCTTATTAGGTTTTGGTTTTTCAAGACAGGGTTTCTCTGTGTAACTCTGGCTGTCCTGGAACTCGCTATGCAGACCAGGCTGTCCTCAAACTCAGAATCTGCTGGCCTCTCCCTTCCTAGTGCTGGGATTAAAGGTATGCTCCACCACCACCTGGCACCAACATTATTTTAAAAGGCTGATTTCTACTTATGTTTTATAATCCTTCATATACTATATTCCAGACTTATAAAGATAAAAAAAAATGCAGCTGGGCATGGTAGCGCACACCTTTAATCCTAGCACTTGGGAGGCAGACACAGGCAGATCTATGACTTTGAGTTCAGCCTGGTCTACACTGAGAGCCCCAGAACAGCCAGGGCTAGTTAGAGACCCTGTCTTAAAAAACAAACTAACAAAATATATAGAAATCAATCCATTTAGCCGGGCAGTGGTGGCGCACGTCTTTAATCCCAGCACTCGGGAGGCAGAGGCAGGCGGATCTCTGTGAGTTCGGGGCCAGCCTGGTCTACAAAGGGAGTTCCAGGGCAGCTCCAAAGCTACAGAGAAACCCTGTATCGAAAAAAAAAAATCCATTTTACCTCTAATCAAAACTAAAGCAGTGGATACTACAATATGCAGCATTTTGTATTGCTACACAGATTGGATATAATGCATTTCTTGTCTAGAAGAGGAAAGAAAGAATAAATTCAAGATTTGTAATTAGTTGCTGAAATGAATTGTCCATCTTCCAAAATAGACATGATAGCTAGGCAGGATTACACAGACTTGTAACTCTAGCACTTGAGAAGCTGAGACAGGAGGATCAGAAGACTGTAAATTCAAGGTCAGCATATGTACACACATGAATGACACAGCTTTAAAATGAAAAACTTTTAAAGGCCCAATATACTGGATGGAGAGCAAAGATATTTTGAATATGTCTTTCGGTGTCCAGAAAATACACTAGTAATCTAGCATATGATTGGTAAAAATGTATTTACATATTCTGGCAAGGTGGTACAGCTCAGTGGTAGGGCAAAATTGCCCAGCATGTGTCAGAGCCTAGGTTTGCTACTCAGTATCTTAAAACCAAGTAACTAAATAAATATTAAGTAAATGTAGGGCAAAGCTACAACTTTGCATCACAAAACACCAAGATAAAAAACAAAACAAAACTTCACTAGTTGGCAAATACATAGCTACTAAGGATGCTAAGAAACTAGAGCTATGTAAAAAACACATATTTTTATAAAACTGAAACCTATAGTGGCCAGCAGCTCAGCTGACATATTCTTTATATTTGATTAAAAACATTTAACACTATTTAATGTAAAACGCCCCAAGAGAATAACACACGGACTATATGCTTTATGTGAACTTACTAGGAATAAAAATTTCAGATAAAATAAAAGATATTTCAACAACTACTATTTCTCATCCCAGAAAATTTTTGTAGAAAAATCCAAAAAAAAAACGCAGCAACCAGTTAGGCAGTAGTGGTGCACACCTTTAATCCCACACTTTGGAGGCAGAGGCAGGCAGTTTTCTGTGAATTCAAGGCTAGTCTGGTCTTCAGAGCTAGTGCTGGGACAGCTAGAGTTGTTACAGAGAAACCTTGTCTTGAAAATCAAAACAAAACAAAAATAAAAGATATAGCACCCAGAGGCATTTCTTTGGGGGAGAGGGAGAGATTATTAGCAATGAAAAGAGAGTATGGGCTCTCACATAAAATCCTATTCTCATATCCATATGACAAGAGAAAGAGGTAGAGAAAAGAAAGGAAATAGGAGAGATGACTCCAAATAAAGTAGTTTTCTCCTCTGAACGAGTGAATGTTTACCAGACACATTCACTAAAGACTGGCAGACCACAAAAACAAGCAAACAAAAAACCAATGTGGGCCAGGCTTGGTGGCGTACACATTTAACCCATGCAGTGGAGAGGCAAAGGCAAGTGGATCTTGTGATTTCAAGTTCAAAGTCAGTCTAGTCTTCATAGCAGTTTCAGGACAGCCAGGGATATATAGTGAGATCCTGTCTAAATAAAATTAGGAAACTAGTATATTTATGCACTGTAATAGCAATTTCATATAATTAGTAGCAGACCAGCTCCTATACGTTCATATGGGTTTCATATTCTGTTTGTGGGGATTGTGTAGAGTGGCTTTCACCTGTGGGAAAAACTTCTAAGATCCCATGGATGCCTGCGATCTATGATAGCATCAAGTAAGTCCTCTACTGCTTCTTCTTTTCTTTTTTTTCTTTCTTGGTTCTTGGTTTTGAAGACAGGGTTTCTCTTTGTAACCCTGGACCAGGCTGGCCTAAAGGTATGCGCTACCACCAACCTGCTATACTATTTTTCTTATAAAACGTGCTTAATCTCTTGTTTGCTTTTGAGACAAGGTTTCACCACAGGACTCTGGTTGGCCAGGCACGCCTATCCATCTTAACACCTAACACACTGTGGCCAGCAACACTAGGATTAGGTGTGACAGAAACACTAGGATTAATTTGTTTTCCATTTTTGACACTTTCACAGAAGATTCTCTCCTATTGCTAATCTTTACAAACTCAGCATGTAGCTTTCTGTAGTGATATTTCATTTGTATTTTAATAAGTAAAGCTCGTCTGAAGATGAGAGAGTAAAACAGCCACACTGGTCAGCCTTACAGACCAGGCAGTGGTGGCACACACACCTTTAATCCCAGTCACCACACTAGTGCGCCATAGAGGCTGACAACTGTGGTGCACGCCTTTAATCCCAGCACCAGAGAGGAATATAAACTGGGATGAGACAGAACTAATTTTTTTTTTCAGTCTGAGGAATTTTTTTTTTTTTTTTTTTGGTTTTTCAAGACAAGGTTTCTCTGTAGCTTTGGAGCCTGTCCTGGAACTAGCTCTTGTAGACCAGGCTGGCCTCGAACTCACAAAGATCCACCTGCCTCTGCCTCCCAAGTGCTGGTATTAAAGGCGTGCACCACCACCGCCTGGGTAGTCTAAAGATCTCTTAGAGGTAAGAACTCTCTAGTGGCTTGGCTGCTTTGTTTTTTGGACCTTCAGGCTGAACCCCAATATCTGTCTCTGGGTTTTTATTATTCATGCTATATAGTTTACTTTTCTTATTAACTTCAGAATTTTCACCCTTTCGCTTAAAGGAAGCACTTTCCGTCTTATTGTTGGGATTTCTGAACTGCCAGCTATTACTAAGTTCAAGCTCCGGGAACATGAGCACTAAATAGATGCTTCAGTCATCTGATGACGTCACTAAGTGACTAACGGGTGGGCAGCACGTACAACCTCAACATGCTGGATACAGAAATCCTTTGTGCCTCATTCTCAACACTAAGGATTTTTACCACGCCACTTAGATCTGTATCTAAAAATATCTGAATTGGGCTGGGCATGGTGGCGCACACCTTTAATCCAAGCACTCAGGAGGCAGACTCAGGTGGATATCTGAGTCTGAAGTCAGTCTGGTCCATATAGCAAGTTCCAGAACAGTCAGGGATACATAAGACCCTTTCTCAAAAACCAAATTTCTGAATTGCTCTCTTATGAAATGTCCTATTTTCATTCATATTTTGAACAGAGGATGATCAGAACTAAGGGAAGACTATTATATTTAAATATCGATATCACATTGTTTGATCCATGTTTTTAAAAAGTCAAATCTTAACTATCAGCTGTTAAAACTTTTAATGCTTGTCTTAAAATTAGAGATTATATGTATATACATACTGCATATCATTATATTATAAAAACTAGAATCTATGATAACATCTGATAAAGAAAAAAAATCCAAACAGGTGCAAATGGTTGCCCAGGCTGTAGGCCCCCAGCACTCAGGGATATCCCCCACGTTCAAGGCCAACATGGTGAGTTTCAGGACTATGTAGCAAGACCCACCTCAACAAAAAGGCCAAATAAAAAGAAATCATAAAACAAAAAACAGGTCAGGACAAAATTGGTCAAAAAAAAAAAAAAAAAAAAGAGGAAAAAAAAAAGCAGGATTCTTTTGGGGGGCTGTTTATTTATTTGTTTGTTGATTTGTTTTTCGAGACAGGGTTTCTCTGTATAGCCCTGGCTGTACTGTCCCCAGTAGACCAGGCTGGCTCAAACTCAGAGATCCACCTGTCTCTGTCCCCAAATGCTGGGATTAAAGGTGTGTGCCACTACCGCCCAGCTAAGAACAGGATTCTTTATATAACAAAATCAAATTTATAAAAGGAAAGATGTTAGGTATTCCTTCCTAGAACCCATGTCCTTTAGAAACTTCCTACCTAGACCACTGCTCAAGCAACACTCCTAACCATCAGTTGAGTCCTTACCTTAATTAGTCTGGTCACCATTACTGGATGACATAAATGTTAAGTCAGAAAAATGAGAGACTTTTAAACTAAAGTTCAAATCTAGGAACTGTAAGACATGGCTAAGCTGTAGAGAGTGCTACTCCTCAGGCTAAGTCTGTATGCACATAGATTTTAAAATATTTATCAGATGTCTCTCAAAAACATTCTAATAGCTGGGTGGTGGTGGCACATGCCTTTAATCCCAGTACTCAGGAGGATCTTTGTGAGTCTGAAGCCAGTCAGTGTGAGCTCCAGAACAGGCTCCAAAGCTACCGAGAAACCCTGTCTCAAAACACCGAAAACAAACAAACAACAAAAACCGTTCTAGTGACTCTTTCCACTTTTTGCATCCTCTGCACCCTGAAGTCGCTTTGCCTGCATGTTAAATCACCAGTGTTTCTCCGCCACCACCTGACCCTCCTTTCTGTTCTTCCACCCGCCACCACCTGACCCTCCTTTCTGTTCTTCCACACATTCAAAACATCTGACTCCCACCCTCCCTCCTGTAAATGTTCTCTTCTGTTGATGCCACAGCATATCTGGTGTCCCCACTTCCTCTCTGCAAGATGTTTCAGAAAGTCGTTTGTCCCTTCTTAACTTTGACTGGAACTCTTGAATGTTTGTTCCAACCTGCAGGCCTCAGATTTCAGTCCGTCCATCCCCCATTTTCTACCACCCCTCTCTAGGTGATCTTACTTACATGGCTTCAAATATTACTGTACACATCAGCACTGGTCTCTCCAGAATTCCAAACTCATTTATCCAACTGCCTACATATAACCTCCATTTGTATAGACGAAGTGTATCTTAAATTTAACACTGCCAAAACAGAAATCTTGATTGCCACCACTCCTCCATCCATCCTGTGCCTTTCTCAGTCATTCCCATTTTAGTAAGTAGCAATGTTAGCACCCACACAATTGCACTGACAAGAATCTAAGTCTCCCTGTTTCTTACAGACACTCTAGTCCTATTGCTCTTACCTCCAAAATAAAAATTTATCTACTGTCTTTCTTCACCACCATCCTAAAACTCAACAACCTATAACCTCGGTGCAGACTTCCAGAATACACTTGCCTGGTTTCCCCTGTTCTTGTACCCTACAATCCTACATAAATTACTCATTTCCACACAGAACAATCTTTAAAATACAAATTAAACCCTGTCTTCTCTTTGGCTAAAAAAAAAGTCTCTCCAACAACCTGGCATTTCTATCCCAGCTCTGTCCAGGCCCACACTGAATCCTCCCTGTCTTGCTGGACTCCATCCCCACCACCACCCTCCACCACCCACTAGATGCCAGTCATCTCTTTACCACCGTGAAGCCTTTGCTACTTGCGCTCCTCTGCTCCAGTCCTTAACACAGACGGGACCATCTTGGTGTTCCTGTCTAGACTAAGAGAAGTGACATCTTCCCTTACATGTGGCCTCAGTCTCATCAGCCACTTGGTCATCACAGAACACTTATTCTCACCATGGCTCTTATCTCTATTCTTCTGAAGCTTCATTTGCTTCTCCATTGCATTCCCAGTGCTTTCAACAGTACCCATGAAAAATATTATTTCCCATTAGTGAAAGAATAAAAGTATAATCAAAGTTAGGAATGAAAAGAAGGAAAATTATATACCAGAATAGAAGGTAACTATTGGCAATTAGATTAAAAATCAGAGATTTTTACAGTTCTTGGTTAGAACACCAGCTTTAAACACCCTTGCCTCATCACCTGCTGGCATCTCTATGACTAATTCTACTTCAAACTCTACTTATGCATCTACTGAAGACAACTGTCAGGAAACAGATCTCTGGTTTTTCTTTTTCACAAGCACTCCTGTTCTGCCACAGGCAGACTTCATACAGAAGAGTTATCTGTCACCCTTTAGGCTTCAGGCTGTACTGACTCCTAGTAGAAACATCCCAAGACCCACAACCACAATGGCTATTGTCCTGATGCTCCCACAGCAGTTTAAGCTATCTGATCCTCTAGCACTTATATTCTATTTCCTATGTGAGGGCTGACTTCAGTCCCTACAAGCCTGTAAAATCTTATGGGGCCAGGAATTCTTTTATTCACCACTGAATTCTTAGCACTTACCATAGTATCTAGTACACAACAGTCAAAAAAAAAATTGATAAATAATCAGAAAGGAAGAAAAGAGTAACTGACACACGCACCACCGGGTACAACTAGTCTTAACTGAGAAAAGTAAAAATTTTTCTTTGAAAAATAAGATAAAACTTTTGGATTTTGGTACTAGGGGTTGATGAACCCAGAGCCTTGCATATTACAAGTGCAGATTCTACCACTGAGCTACATTCCTAGCCCAAATAAAATTATTATAACAGTTTAAATTCCTATGTACAAAAAGTTGTTCAGACCTTAGTATTTACTAAAGACACATGAGATGCAAACTGCTCTGCTGAGCACATAATAACCGGATGTTGGCTTCAACACTTACCAATCCCTTCACTTGACATGTAGACTGAGCTATCGGCGCTTACACTGGAGAATGTGAAATACCATCACCTTACATCTTTCCCAGACGGGCTACTTATGAGTTAAACACATTATGGAGGACATGCAATGATAGTGCAGAGTCTTTGCCTCCTCCCCTAGCTCACTGGCCAAATCAATGGATTAAGTCAATACCACACACATGAATCTCTCCCACAGAGCAATCTGAGGTTGAAGATGAATTTTTAAATGGTGTTAATCAACTCATGTATCAACTACAAATGTTCAACATCAGGCAAGGGATGACACTCCTAACCAGGAAGATCTTACCTCTGTTATCATTTTACAGCTTTTACAGGGTCCGATCTGACTGAATAACTGGAGTATAAGGACTTCTGTCACATCTCTGGAGAGGTTACCTACGTATCTGAATGAGAGAGGAAAAAAACATTATCAGCAATGTTTCTTTGACTATAGCTCTGATGTGTTATTATTTAATTCATCTTTTATTTCAAGTTCCCGTCTATGCTAAATTTTTTTAGTTAAGACAGCTATATTTCCAATTTCAGAATTTGTAACATAAATATGACAAATATTGATTTACTAAAACATCTTGATGATGAACTAATACTAGACAGCAGTTGTTAGTGGGCTCATCTCAACACTGCCAACCAAAACAATTTCATGAACAATGAAGAGAATGAGAGTCAAGTTGTTCTAGCAGAGCAGAGGGTGGGTGGGTGGAGGTGCTGAGGTCTGCTTCAGTTTGGGCTAAAGAAGACTGTTAGTGATGGCACATCTTCATTGCTTTAAGAACAATGGAATTAATAATTTATACCTTCTATCAGCATCAACAAAACAATCTTTAGATAACAAATAAAAGAAATTTAAGAATTCTTTAGAAATTCGGAGGAAAATTTAAGATCGACCCAAATATGCTTCTGACTGGATATTTAAAGGTTTGTGCTTTTCTCCCTAATTAGCAGTTGATTAAAAATTTCAATGAGAAAAAAGGAAAATCAACACCTAACCCCCCAAAGATGATCACCTTGGTTTATGAGTTACTACAACTTGATTCATGTCTTACATTCTTAATAAATTGCCAAAATCTTTCTGGTTCTCAACAAATAACACCTTAAGTGTACATCTGTCATGAATCACTTTATAAACCAAAACATTATTTGTAAAATGTGACATAGTTTCTTCTGGGAAGTAAAAAGATACCATTTTACTTTTCTGACCACAACACAACATTAGGAACCAGTGCTGGGACCAAAATAAGGCTTGCAACAGTTGCCACGTTAAATACATACAAAGCTTTCAAATGAAACATGCTAAAAGAAAAAGGGTTGGAGAAAGCTAAGCTTCAGAAAAACCTAAAATGATTGGTTAAGAATGGGTAGGAACTGGGGCTGGAGAGGTGGCCCAGTCATCAAGCATGCTTGCTGTTCTTGTAGGGGACAGAGTTCAGTTCTCAGCACCCAGGTCTGGCAGCTCACAATTAATTGCCTGTAACTCCAGTTCCAGGGAATCCAACACCCTCTTCTGGACTCCTCCAGCACCTGTGTACCCAGATGTATACACATGTAATACATGCAGGGGGACACACACAATTTTAAAAAACAAAAACAAACAAACAAAAACAGGAAAAAAATGAGTAGCAACTTCCCAGCTTAGTTAAGAATGTCACAGCAGTGGTTACCAACAACCTCAGGGTACATGTTCTCAGGCTGAAATACAAGTCCAGTGCTACTGAAATAAAGAATAAGCTAGCTGACAAACTGGTTTAGGTCTAGTATGCCATCTTTTCCTTATAATTAAATGGAGCTGACCCACCATAGGCCATACGGTGATTTTTTTCCCCCAGCAGTAGAAAACAGTTGAAGGATTACGAATTAGCCATAAGTGACTGCTTGCCCCTTTTCACTCACAGGGACTTTATGAGCCTGTAACTATGGAATAACCTCCTTTGTAAAAAAGACGCAAGTATAAAGAAAATGAGCAAGTAAACTTGATTTTCTAAACACTATGTTCACCTGACCAGTCTAGCCTGCAGAGGGCAAGGGATAACAGTGGTTTTAAAAATGAAGCTAGCCAGTAACAAAAATAAACAATAGAACATCATTTTACCATGTTAATTTTTGATGATTATACAGTTAAGATTGTGTTCATGTTTAAAAACATTAAATACTTTTCATAGCTAAGTCACAATAAAATCTATTTTTGTTTACTAAGACTTTCATTCTAAGTCAACCCATTTTCAATCAGCTAGGAAACTCCGTGGTTCCAGAGGCACATTGATGTATATAATTAATTTCTGTATCTAGCAGTGTCAAAGATTAAAAATTGTTAACATTCTAGTTTAGAATGTCATGAAATATTTACAGAAAGTCCAGTGCTAAGGTATCCTATTTTTCAAATACTTCCAAGAGTTAACAGCTAAAGCAGCAGACTAAAAAATTTTTTTTATTTTGTTTGTTTTGCTTTCAAGACAGGATTTCTCTGTGTAGTTTGGAGCCTGACCTGAAACTCACTCTCTGGACCAGGCTGGTCGAACTCACAGAGATCCGCCTGCCTCTGCCTCCCAAGTGCTGGGATTAAAGGAGCATGCCACCACTGCCTGGTTTAGCAGACTCAATTTTAAAAACATAAGAAAGCCTGGCCAGGCATGGCAGTGCACGCCTTTAATCCCAGCACTCAGGAGGCAGAGGCAGGTGGGTCTCTGTGAGTTTGAGGCCAGCCTGGTCTACAAAGCGAGTTCCAGGACAGCTAAAGATATACAGGGAAACCCTGTCTTGAAAAACCAAAACTATACAAAGCCTTCTGGAACAACAGAGAACATCTTCAATTGTCAAGATGAAAAGGATACAATTTAGTATGTAATTTCACCTACATTTATCCAAATTTTAGACTGACTTTTCTACTCAAGGTTCTATAATTTATGTTTCTAACAAAGGCAGAAGTTATATTTTTAATATTGTATACTGTGCCTTTTACATTATCAAAAAAATCATCTATCCCAGAATAACTCTAACAATGGTGTTTAAGACAAAATTCAACATTCAACCTAGTATCATGTTTCACAGCTTACTGAATTTGTTATCTGTTTCTTTCAAACAATATTTTCTATACTTCACCTTCTGCTGCAGCTAAGTAGTATTAAGTATATTCTAAAGTTCCAAGTTTTTAAATATGTAATTTTTACCTGAAGGAGCATGTGCAAAAACAACAGACAAAGACAAACGATCTGAGTTCTTATAGTAAATAGAAACACTTAGGAAATTCCAGAAATGACTTTTAACTCAAGATAAAAAATAAGGAAAATGCATACCTTACAGTCTATTTTGTCTTCTAAGAACAGGAACTGTGGGACCGAAACATTAATAACTGAAATGATACCTTTATCCCTAACATTGGGTCTAAGATCCAACTGGAGACTAGAAAACTTGGCAGTTTCACAGCAGGCAGAAGCTCACAGTGCAGTGAACTACTTCCTATGTCCAACTGGGCAGAAATGAAGAACATGGTGCCTTGCAGAAAGCTAATGACAGCTTTTCCACTGAATGTGCTCTCACTCTGAAAAGTAACCCTACCAAGGCCGAAATTACCAGCACTTTTATACAAAATACTGTTGGGCTAAATTTCCAAAAAGGTTGTTGTAGTTTTCTGATCATTCTTAACAAGTTCCTATACAAAATGAGATTTCCAACAGTAACCCTGAACAGCCCTCTAAAGGGCTGTCTGAGCTTTACTACGGGATTTTCAGAAGGAGGCAAAGCTGTAAAGGTAGAGCAGGGTAACTAACCTGACCAAGGACCTCTAAAGGATGGTCCTATACAAGCTTTAAAGAAACAAAGATGACCAAGTTGAACCAGCTTGATTATAGCCATAATATAGCTAAATCAATGGTGCAGCCAAGTCTATGAGATCTTACACTGTTTTCTTCTGTTTTGTTCACAGATGTTCAGAACACACTTTAAATCAAAGGCTTATTGCCTCCTTTTTACTGAGTGTCAAGGAAGAATAAATAGCCTTACAGTGTTGAGTCCTAGATGTACACCAAATAGATGAATAGACTAAACTACAACTGACTGCTAATATAATTTAGTGTCACACTGTGGGTTCAGAGACCACAGACCAAATCACTGTACTGCAAAGACACAACCCAAGGCGGAAACGTCCTACAAGGCTGGTCTAATTCAAACACCAGTATCACATATTGGGATCTCACTGATTTGTTTTTAAGATCACGAATACATAATACCCCAAAATAAATGTCAAATGAAAATGAGGAACATCAGAAAACAGACCTTTAAAGCAACTATATGGCAAATAAGATCTTAGACGAACATCGAGGCAATTCTATACCACTTTAAATATCATCAGATAAATTAGTAATACTGTAGATAATGAATATTTAAAGACCTACCTAGGCTATAAACACCATATTGTTTTCTGAAGATAGAACCATATGTCTTAGCTTGTGTGTGTCTGCAGGAAGAAAACCTTACTAGTAACACACAGGCATTTGAAAGTAAACATATTAAGATAAACTTTAAAGTACATTGTTTTAAAACATAGTAGTCACTTGAGAAACCTAATCCATAGATCACAATGCAAAATACAGGTTCTTCATAAACAAAATCAAATCCTATTAAACATTTGCTTTGATGTCAAGACTTTACATTAGGTATATATATGTATATATATAAATCAACAAACTTCAGAGAGTATGACAATGTCCGCCTATAATTTAAGTCAATAAGAACTTCTAAAAACAATGCTTAATACTAATTTAGCCAAAGAAGTACAGCTTTAAAATATTTATTGAGTACCTCTTATGTTCCAAGGAGTGAATTAAGTGCAGGGAGGGTTAAGACCTAGGAAGCAGTACAGTTCTTGCATTTAAAAACAAGGCAAAAGCATAGCGGTGGTGGCGCATGCCTTTAATCCCAGCACTCAGGAGGCAGAGACAGGTAGATCTCTGTGAGTCTGAGGCCAGCCTGGTCTACAGAGCGAGTTCCAGGACAGGCTCCAAAACTGGAGAAACCTTGTCTCTAAAAACAAAATGAAACCAAAATAATAATAACAATAAATAAAAACAAAACCAAACCCACTATGACTGTCCATGAAGAAGAGTGGGAAAAGGAAGACATAAAAAACACACGGTCACGGACTAGAACAGAGCTTAAGATGTTTATCCCCTCATATGTATATATCGCAGTTTAGCTAACCAAACACTGACAACTGAAGTGCTTCAGGGGAAAAAGACAAATGCTCAAGATGGAAATGTATGAAATACTACAATTTAGCTCTGGTCTAGAGGATAAGCCCTGATAGCAGATGCAAAGACAATTTACAGGAATAAAAGAAACAGAAAAAGGCATACTATGTAACAGACAAAGGCAAGAGACTTGTTCTAAGAACAAATAGATGCAGTTAATGAGACATGAGAATTTACCAAGTAAGCACTAGCTATTATGATGCAATGATGACATTTCAGGTATTTTAGATACAATGTAACTGCCATCTTCCTTGAATATATGCTTGCTAGGCCTTAAGTCTAGTTTCCCCGGATGCTTTTATATAAGTACACACTGCTAGCTATTAAATGCAAAGCCATGGCTTAAACAAAGATTTAAGAACAAATTTCAAGTTTTGTCTCAATTATAATCTTTCTGGAAAACAGAAATGGAAAAAAAAAAACACAAAAAAATTTTTTACCAAACTTCTCATTCACAGGTATATGTTTAGGTTGTTTTCAAATTTGCCAAGTAAGATGTTAAGAGAAACAAGAATGGAAAATATAAACGATGCTTTAAAAAAAAGAGAGGAAGAAAAAGATATCAACATTGAATATTTACTGAACATCTTTTCTGTGGTAAGAATGAAGCTCTGAGAAGCTAGTCAGAGATCCTGAGTATCCATCCACCGTCGTCCATTCCCCAAAAAGTACTTTCCCCATCAGCTAACCCGGCCAAGTGGACTCTGATCATCATAGCAATCAATACCAGGCAGAGCGAGGCAAGAGAGACAATGCAGCAGGCTGACACTGTGTACTTACTCCAGGCAGGAGTAGCAGGCCTGGAGAGGCTGGGAACCCCAAGGTGCTCACTTTAAACAATGAATTAGAAATTACTCAGACCAAAGAAAAAAAGAGTGCCACACTATCTGGAAAGGAATACAGACGCTGAGTCATCACTCTGCATCGGGAAAGGAAGGAAACGCCAATTAAGCGGTTGGAAGATGCAATTCATTCATTAAATTGGCCATCAGGTGAAACTCAACTGCTAGACCGCGGAAAAAAGCACCCAAAAGACACGCATCAAATAGCGGGAGAAGACATCCTTTTCTCCAACTCTAATGGTCCTGACGCACAAACCGATTAGGAAGCGGCATCGCCAACTGAGCGAAAGGAGTTTAACTGGTTGTCAGTTTGGCGTAGTGAGCGCTCAAAGTAAACTTCGCTATCCAAGGGACAGAGGTGGTGCACGGCGGCAAAAGGCAATCTCTTTGGCACTTGAAAAGCAGCGGGCGATGGGCGGGTGTTTCTGACAGCGTGGGGCACGTGGGGCAGAAAGAGACAAGGGGCTCCTCTGGTTAAAGAGCGGTAGGCTCGGGAAAAGGACCCGGAGGCTGAGGACGTGGACCGCTGAGGACGTGGACTGAGGCTGAGTACAAACGCCAGAGGATGCAGCGGCGGTCCCACCCCCGCCAAGCCCTGCCCCCGTGGAGACCCACAGCTCCCGGTTCAGCCCGGAGTCCCCAAAGCACAGGGGGAGCCGGAGCTCTCCCGAGCCTGACAGCCTCAGCCGTGCACAACAAGACCGGTCTAGGAAGGGTGTGCAAAGAAGGGATAGGGAGGAAAAGGTCAAGACGAGCCCTACACCCTAGAAAGTAACTGTGTTCGGGGGGAAGGGAGGGCTTCCTTCTCTAGGAAAGAGGGACAGATGAGGAATGCACTTCGTAGCGCTCCACCGGGACGCCGGGCTCTCAGCTTCGGGTTCCGGTCTCCTGCTCCCTCCCTCAGCATCCCGCGTGCCCGGGCCGCTCGGTGCCTGGCACCCCCGGTCTCGGGTACTCACAGAGTCCGGGGCTGTCCGTCGTCTTCCATCATGGTGGGTGCGACGGAGTGATCCCGGGACAAGGGGGAGGGCAGGGCTGGGGAGGGGAGGGGGTGGGAAGGAAGGGGAGGGGGGCTCCGGGCTCCGGCCGGGGACAGAGGAAAAGGTACTGAACCCCACTCTCGGTCCGCTCCCCCCAGCCCGCTCCGGACACTGCGCTCCAACCAGGAGGAGCAGGAGGAGGAGGAGGATGAACAAAATGGCCGCCGCCACCAGACAGGCAGGAAACGCTTCAAGGCGCAGGCGCGGCCCGCCAGGTCACTGCTCAGGCCAGTTGCGACGGCCTGTCCGGCAAAAGTGGTTGAAAGAACAGAAAGCCTGGCAAAAGAGTACACTCTGACACTGGACACGACGCAGCACGTCGTCGCCGTGAGCCTAGTGGCCTAGCCAGCTCCAAGAGACACACGACAGAGAGAAAAGCCGCGAAGTCAAGTCTCTGGGAATTGTGGTCCCGGGAAAGCGGGGGAAGCCCTTCTCCAGTGGCCTTCTGGGAACTGTAGTCCAAGGAAGACCCGGAGCCTGCCGGAGCGCGAAGGAGAGATTTCTGGGTAGTGTAGTCGTACGTGAGGAAGTGCCGCGATAAAATAGTTGATGTGCCGGGAGGGAGCGAGGATTAAAAGGCGACCGCCCGAAATGAGCGAGGAGCTTTTCGGGAAGTAAACTACAAATCCCAGAGTGCCTCGCGCCGGGGACCGCCCTAGGATCGCTTCTAGCATTTTAAGACTCTTCTGTTGGTCCAGTGTGAGCTTCAGCTCCGCCTCCGTCCAGCCCCAGAGCGGTTTCTTCAACTGCGGATCAGGCAGTGTGCTGGGTCCGCGTGGTTCCCCAGCTTGCCGGCCTTTCTGGCCTCAACCCATAGAACTGCTGGTCTGTATTCAGTAACCGCCTTCTCACGCGACGGACAGGAGAGAGGCAACTCTGAACTGGACCCGGAGGGGCTGTGGCGGACATCGGGGCTGTGCCAGAGCCAGCCTCGTCTTTGAGTGTGTTTCCCTGCAAGATAGGCCTTTTTAGCCTATCTTGCTTTACAAATTCCGGAGGGATCGCTACTCATTATCTCATCGGATTAGTGGGTAAGGAGGCAAAAGAGCAATCCCTCATGAATGTAACTTGTGCCTCTACCAAAATCCTAGTTAAAACAAAACATGGTGGTGCACAATGCTACTTCGCAGGAGGATAATAAATTTAAGTCCAGCCTGGAATTACATGCCAAGATCTCATCAAAAACAGAAAGAGGCTCAGAGACTGAGAACTGTGCTAAAACATGGTCTGGATGAGTTATTGGACATGGAGTGCTAGTTTACAGCTGCTAGAGCAAGAGAGGAGGTAGACCTGGCTGGGGTGGTACACGTCTTTAATCCCAGCACTCCCTGGAGGCAGAGGCAGGCAGGTGCATGAGTTCGAGGCCAGTCTGGTCTACAGAGTGAGTTCCCGGACAGCCAGGGCTGTGTTACACAGAAACCCTGCATGGGGGATAGAACTACATTAATCATAACCATAATTCAATTAACTGGCCCATGCCTAACCCAATGTATATTTCTTGTTGCTGTTGTAACAAAGTATACATTTAAACAAACATGCATTATCTCACAGTCCTAGATGTTAGAAAGACTAATTCAGCCAGGCATAGTGGTACATGTCGGCAAATTCAGCTCTCAGGAAGATCAGGAATTCAGAGCCAGCCTTGGATACATAGTGAGTTCGAGGCCAGCCTGAGCTACCTGACCCTGTCTCAAAAAGGGGGTTAGGATGAGAGAAACAGAGCAAAATCAAGGTGTTGCTGAACTGTTTCATTCCTAATTTTGACTTCTGGATGTGGCCTACGTTATCTGGCTCTTTGAGCCTCCCTCCATCTGCAGAGGCAGCACTATGTGATTTTTCTGGTCTCTTTCATTTTCTTTCTGACTAATCTACCTTTTTAAAAACTTAACCTTTTATGATTAATTTGGCCATTTCAAGATTTATTAATACATGCAAAGCACCCCCCCCATATTAAAATGGTCACATGTTCTAGGGATCCTTGATTTCATTCAATTTATACAATTAGTGATTTTTAATAATGTAATAACATTAATTTATCCCAGTCTTCCTTCACTTTAGATATGTGACCCTAAATCCTGTCTTTACCATTTCTTGCTTTTTTTTCTTAAGTTTTGTTCTATATACATATGCTCCTTAAAGGTATACATGCTTTCAACACAATGCCCAGCAAAATTCTTCAAAGACCACGAAAGAATGGTTCTCAACTTCGTTTGGAAAACCAAAAAACCCAGGATAGCCAAAACAATCCTGGGCAATAAAAGAACTTCTGGAGGCATCACAATCCCTGACTTCAAATTCTACTACAGAGCTACAGTACTGAAAACAACCTGGTATTGGCATAAGAACAGACAGGAGGACCAATGGAACCGAATAGAAGACCTGGATATTAATCCACACGTCTTCGAACACCTGATATTTGATAAAGAAGCAAAAAATATCAAATGGAAAAAAAGCATATTTAACAAGTGGTGCTGGCATAACTGGATATCAACATGTAGAGGAATGAAAATAGATCCATATCTATCACCATGCACAAAACTCAAATACAAATGAATCAAAGACCTCAACATAAAGCCAGCCACACTGAACCTTATAGAAGAGAAAGTGGGAAGTCCACTTGAACGCATTGGCACAGGGAACCACTTCCTAAATATAACCCCAGCAGCACAGACACTGAGAGAAACAATTAATAAATGGGACCTCCTGAAACTGAAAAGCTTCTGTAAAGCAAAGGACACGGTCAACAAGACAAAATGACAGCCTACAGAATGGGAAAAGATCTTCACTAACCCCACATCAGACAGAGGTCTGATCTCCAAAATAAACAAAGAACTCAAGAAATTGGACACCAAAAGAACACATAATCCAATAAAAAAAAAAAATGGAGTACTGACCTAAACAGAGAACTCTCAACAGAGCAATCTAAAATGACTGAAAGACACTTAAGGAAATGTTCAACATCCTTAGCCATCAGAGAAATGCAAATCAAAACAACTCTGAGATTCCCTCTTACACCTGTAAGAATGGCCAAGATCAAAAACACTGACGACAATTTATGCTGGAGAGGTTGTGGGGAAAAGGGAACACTTCTGCATTGCTGGTGGGAATGCAAGCTGGTACAACCTCTTTGGATATCAGTGTGGCAATTTCTCAGACAATTAGGAAACAACCTTCCTCAAGACCCAGTAATACCACTTTTGGATATATATCCAAAGGATGCCCAATTGTGCCACAAGGATATGTGCTCAACTATGTTCATAGCAGCTTTGTTTGTCATAGCCAGAACCTGGAAACAATCTAAATGCCCCTTGACCAAAGAACAGATAAGAAAAATGTGGTACATTTATAGAATGGAGTACTACACAGCAGAAAAAAATAACGACAGCTTGAATTTTGCAGGAATATGTATGGAGCTAGAAAACATCATTTTGAGTGAGTTAACCCAGACACAGAAAGACAATTATCACATGTACTCACTCATAAGTGGTTTTTAAACATAAAGCAAAGAAAGCCATCCTACAAACTACAATCCCAGAAAATTTAGATAATCTCTCATGAAGACACCCAAGAGAGGTTTACATAGTTCTAATCTACAAGGGAAGTAGAAGGTAGAAAAAGACAAGATTTCATGAGTAAGTGGAGCATGGGGACCTTAGGGAATGGTTGAAGGCGGGGGGGGGGGGGGGGGGGGGGGGGGGGAGGTAGGGAGGGGAGCAGAGAAAAATGTAGAGCTCAATAAATATCAATTAAAAAATAAAGCATGTGTGCAATTTAAATCATTTTTAATCATTAAATCTTTTCGATTCCTCTCCTGCTTCCTCCCTGTGAATGCAATGTGACCACTGCCTCACACTCCCGCCACAATGCCTTGTCTTCCATGACAATTGTGGCCCAGAACACCCCTTCCTTCCGTTGCATTTGTAGAATATTTTGCACCATCAACAACAATGAACAAAGTAAGTAATATCATACCCCAAACCTACATACATAGGACAAATCAGTCAGTCTGCTGTGGTCAGGAAGCGCTCTGCTACCAGTTTAGACACATCATTTTTTTTTTTTTTTTTTTTTTTTTTGGTTTTTCGAGACAGGGTTTCTCTGTGGCTTTGGAGCCTGTCCTGGAACTAGCTCTGTAGACCAGGCTGGTCTCGAACTCACAAAGATCTGCCTGCCTCTGCCTCCCGAGTGCTGGGATTAAAGATTTTTATTTCATGTGTGTGAGTCTATCCTGCATGCATCTTTATCATGTGTGGCTGATGCCCCTAGAGGTCAGAAAAGGGTGTGAGATCCCCCGGAACTGGAGTTATGGGTGGTTGTGAGCTGCCATATGATCCTCTGCAAGAGTAGCAAGTGCTCTGAGCCATTGAACCATCTCTTCCCCATGCCTCCAGTAGCTTAGTGCCATCTCTGTACTCAGTGTCTCATTGGGAGAGACAAAAGTCAATGGCAGCCTACAAAGTTTTGGCTCATCCCAAATTTCAGAGTGGCTCGTAGATCTGCTGTGTAGCTGAATACTGGAACCCTACCGTCTCTACACGAGCCTTACGGATACAAGGGAAATTGGAGGCTGCCTCTGTGTGAGCCAGTGAAGGAGAGCGTCAGAATAAGAAACAGATTTTATCCCAAAGAGAGAAAGGATGAGCTTCAGAGATGTTCTAAGGTGAAAGAAAGGGACCAGGAAAAAAAAACAACCCGACTGCATGTGTCTGTGCCGCAGTAAAGCTCAGCCGCAGCCAAAGGGTTCCCTGGCAGGGCTGGGGAGGAAAATAGAAGCCACTTCCAAAACGTAAGCCAGATGAAAGCCAGGCAGCCCTATATCCAGAACAAGCCCACAGCCCTCATAAGCCTCAAACCCAGTTGTGAGATTTGATGCGACAGTAATTACCCCAGCAGAAAACTAAACAGCAGAGAGAAATCCCATTTTGTTATGCTGTATGACTCAGAGGGCAGCAGCCAGAGCTATCTTAAAGGAGGCTCTGTTAAAAAATCAGCTACCTGGGGATTGAGATGGGGGAGTATCCACAGAGCCTCAATTTGACCTTCAGAGCCCCCAGATAAAGGGAGGTCCAGAGAGGCAGTTGTGGCCGGCGGGGGAGCCAGTTGCTGACAAACTAAAGGATGTGGGTGGCAGTTGTTGCTCTCAGGCTGGTACAATCATATGCAGAAATCATTGCGTAGGTTTGAGACCCATGGGTGGATCAGACTCTAGAGTCCTCTGTCTGTTACTCACCACTGGTAATGCTTGAGAACGCTGAAGTTCCGAGGGGTGTGAGTGATACCCACCTTCAGGAGGGTGATTAGCATTCAGGAACCCTTGAGAGTGATAAGACAGGGCCTCTGCTGTACCCGTTCTGCGATGGCTGCTTCTCATACCCCCACATTGCACTTAGGAGAGACACCCACTCAGCTAAAACACCAGTTCCCCCCCCCCCCCCCCCCC